CAATATGAAGAAAAAAGGAATATGAGCGTTGAGTTCAAAGTTCTTGGGATAGTAGGTGTAGGGCTAACCGTTTCTGGGAATATAACATACACAACACAGGTACAGAAAAAATCTATGAAATTTCCATAATTTACAAAGATCTAATATCCAATTATTGTTTGATAGTCTGATGAAAATAAAACAAGGCACGACATTCCTATCAGATTTGAATTACCTCTCGCGGTGTTTATGCTAAATATACCTCGTACAAGTCCCGAACAATTTGCTAATTTAATTTCTCAAACTGATTTTCCATTTACTGGATCAACAACCATTCGTTTTGATGCAACGATCCACTCTGTTGAACAAGCTTTCCAGAATGAAATGATACGATTAACGTCATTTGCTACTGGGACTCATATCGTAGAACAAGTGCCGGGGGCGATAACAATCTATGGTAGGAGTGTTCAAGGATACCAAGTTGTAGGGTTGGCCAAGCTACTTGCCGAACAACAATTGATGTTGGAAGAAGATGAATCCAGCAACATGAAAGCAAGCATCAAGGTTGAGCTTAAATGTACAGATCAAGCATTCGTGGATGGATTAATTAGAGAAATTGAACATTTGTTTAGCGAAGAATTATGACCATGTTATTTTGAACATTTTTTAAAGATTGATGATCATGTGACCTGGTATGGTTAATGTTTAATAATTTATTTATATTACTTTTTTACAAGGGCTGAATATACTCATTAGAGAAAATAGACTGTATGTCATTAATTATGAACAAATTGGGATCGTGTACAACCCTAACAATATAAAATACTAAAAGAAAACAATGGAAAATCTCACTACTTATACTAATTGAAACATCTCGGCAACTAAAGAATATGTAATCAAGTTGCAGGCTAGAATCACCATAATATAAAATGAAATTATACGAATCAATATTTCATTAATTAGTGTACTTTTTTAAATTATATTAATATCATTATAATAAATAAATCCGGATCATTTTTAATAGATAATTTCTTAAGAAATCATCATCAAGATATAATTGAAATGCTACAATAAAGTATTATTGAGCTTGTCACTGAGATTTATATTATTGATTGTTTGAACTCTTATTAAGTATATACTATATCTATTAATAAAACAGATTTCTTAATAATAATATAATAAAATTTTGAAATATCTATATTTTTTATATTATATAAATGTAAAATATAAAAATTTAATTAAATATTAAATTAAATATTATGTAAGAGTATAACTTAAATATAATTTATTCTTTTTGTTAATTCTTTGATTATTCTTTATTAAAAATGTACAGTGGGTGGACAAAAGTTTATAGACAACTTTAAAAATTAAAAATTAAATTAAATTAATAAAAAATTAAATAAAT